TAAATAAATAAATGTTTTGACCTTGGTTTCTAGTGATAGAAACCAAGTTATCTTTGCTAACTCCCAGCTCTCCCCCTTTTTTTCTATTTTCAAAAGGTGTATGTTTTTCCATTGTATGCATTGTACCTTTGCTTCACGGTTTCATTAAGTCCAAAATAGCCCTTCAAAATATTATAGCACAGATGGGGTGCAGTCATATCCCAGCTGTTCTTGCTTCTGTCCTCTCCTAGCAACCATAGTACAGATCCTATATCACCAAGTAATTTTACATGATGGAAGTTTTTACAAGATTAGGGATGAAAATCTTTTCTAACCAGCTGAGAAGGCGACAGATTTCCACCCTCTCCTTCAGTTAAGAAGAGATGAAAGGACCCATTGGTGCCAAACAAGGAGGCAGTTTTGTTAGCATCAGAGTTCTGAGACAAGGGGGAGGTCTCTCCTCTTCCTGCATGCTAAATAACCTCCCCCTTCCCACTATTACAGTTTTAAAGACTTGAAACAGCAGTGCAGTGAATGCATTTAATAGTGTGGTTGTTTTCCAAGCTTCTCTGCAGAAAGAGGGATTCAATCAATGATTTCACCATTAAAAAAACAAAACACACATACTGTACAATTTAAAATCACCAAATACTACTGATAGTAGTTATTTTTTTGGTTTAAACTATAGCCTGATCTAATAAACACTCAGCTGCAATGTTTTATTTGGAAATCAGCACATATATTCTGTCTAGCTTTATTTATGCAGCAGATGCTTCTGCTGAATAATGCAGTTTAAAATGTGTACTTAACATTTCTCCCTATATATTAAATTAAACTGGTACAGTATTCCCCTCTACCCTGTATTATTGTGTTGTTATTCTATTATTTCTTTAATGTTGCTGGTGGCACTCATTCATGTATTAGATACAGTAGATTTCAGAGACTCTCTTATAGTGATACAGCAACATAGAAATCATACTGAGTGGAAGAACCACATGTGAAATGATCATGGAATCCTTTGTTCTTACTGAGCTTGCCTGCAGTTGCTAGTCAAGAAGTAGAGGATGGTGGGAAGGAATCTGAATAGGTTGTACTACAGTAGTACTTGATTCCCTAAAGTGGCTACTTAAAATGGGACTTTTAAAAGAAGCTTTTATGGGCATTGTTTCATATATCTGCCAAAACTGTCCTGCCTGTCTGTTCTTGGCTTGTTGTTTTTATTCTGTTTTGTTGACCTGTTTGCTCTCATCTTTTTTTGTTTATTATTTACTTTTATTGCTATATAATTTGTGCTTACTTTATTTGTTTGTTATCTGCCCAGAGTAGTGCTTTCCACTAATTGGCAGTATGAAAATGGAATGGTAAATAAATAAACTCTGCCCAGTATGTTTCTGAGGCACTAAATGTCGTGTACATCCTCCTCTGACCCATTATCTTCCTTCCTTCCTTCCTTCCTTCCTTCCTTCCTTCTATTACTAGATTGACCTTAAAAATGATCTCCTTCTTACTGAACAATGGAAATAAATACCAGTGTGGTGGTAATGGGAAACATGTCTGAGGATTCAAGATGAAAAGCACAATGGATCCAATATAAAATATAAAATTAACAAAAGACAAAGGGGAAAAAGTGGTTAATATAGGCAATATAAAAGTTCAATACATAAATTCTTAAAATATATCTGAAGATATTTTAAATTACTCTCAAATTACTGCTTATTTAATGGCAGAATTTTTAGTAGAGGAAGGATCAGGGAATAGTTAAAAAGCTAAAAGATTGTAGGCTGTCTTTTTCAAGGAGACCAGTGCAAATAATTGTAGGGTTTGTTTGTTTGTTTGTTTCTGCATGCATTGACAAATGCATGATGAAAATATCTAAATTTTAAAATTCAAAACATTTCAAACTGAAGTTCAAGTGGTTGCTCCCT